TTTCTTTCTTAGTTCTCGTTCACGTTGGTATTTTTCAAATACCTGACTAATTCCATCCAAGGAGACATCATTGTCCTCCTCACTAATAAAATCATCACCCTCATCATATGAAGTTTCAGAAGGTTCTGTTTCGGGTTTATACGTTGAGTCTTCTTCGGACTCCCAAGACCTATACTCGGTCTCAAATTGTGCGTTGTCCCTCATTTGGACCCCTTGGCCTCCTCGGCCTCTCCCTTTTCCTCTAGATACTCTAGAGTTTCCCCGGTTGACATGCCCAGTTTCTCCCGGTGCACGCCCTATCCGATCATTCCTAGTCATCATGCCTCCACCTCGCATTTCTGAAAGAAATTTTTTTTTGGAATGAGTCATCAGACTCGCTTCAATGTCAACTGACAGATAAGTACTTAAGACACCACTTGGCTCAAATCACCGCCATACCAATTGTTAAGGGGCCCGTCTTAACAATTAGAGACTTTGCAACTCAAGTACCCAAAGGCTCTTTCAGTACAAAACTTTTATGCTCATGGTTTCAAAAATCATTTTGAAGAAAACACTTTTGAGGAACTTCATTATGAAGTTTATGGACTAAGGCTCTGATACCATTTAATTGTCACGCCCCGGTCTGGCCGGACGCGCTAACAACCGCCACATAATCCGATTAAGGCAACCGCAGTTCACCCTACTCGAACCATGCTAGGCGTACATGAATACCATTCACACAAGTACATCCATAAACAATCATAAATAAAGCATTTCAAATATACGCAGCGGAATACAAATACTTTTAAAAAGTAAAAGGCCACACAGGGCGAACATGAGCACGCAGGCTCCCAAATCATTTATAATTTAAAAATAGTCCATGAGCATTATTTTATTTATATCAAAATAGAACTGGAAGAAGCATGAACCACGTCTTCTCTCCATGGATCACCCGAAGCAACGGGAACAGGAAGCAAGCTCTAGCTTCTACCTGAAACTGTGAGGTGGCCTCCCCCGTGAAGGGGAGGTCAGTACTTGGAAGCATTTGACAAGTACAATGACAACTATACTGAATATAATTCATGTTTCAAACACAAGACCCTCAAAATAGGGTGATACTATATTATGGGCATAACCTACAGCTACCCCATTTCAAATCACTTGTATAGAATATATATACCAAGTCAAATAGCCGACCCATAGGTCCATTTGTATTTCAAAACAATTCCCCTTGTACAGCCCTTGGCCTATTCTTGCATATAGCAATATCGAGAGGTTATCCCACCCCTAGTCTAAACCCAACTCCATCGAGAGGGTTACACAATTTATCATTTGTACTCGTCCACGTTGGACTTACCCACCCTACGGGTGTATTCATTCATTTTGGGCTTACACCCCCAGCATTATATCTTTGATTCATTTAGGGCTTACGCACCCCATATATTCTTAGTTTGTGTAGGGCTTACACACCCCGTATAATACTTTACTCATTTAGGGCTTACACACCCCGCGTAATACTTTACTCATTTAGGGCTTACACACCCCGCGTAATACTTTACTCATTTAGGGCTTACACACCCCGCGTAATACTTTACTCATTTAGGGCTTACACACTCCGCGTAATACTTTATCATGTAGGGCTTACACACCCCGTATAATACTTCATTCATTAGGGCTTACGCACCCCGCGTAATACTTTATTCATTAGGGCTTACACACCCCGCGTAATACTTTATTCGTGTAGGGCTTACACACCCCGCGTAATATCCTTTATCTTGTTAGGGCTTACACACCCCGTATATATATCCCCGTATACTCATTGTACACGAGCAATCATAATCTATCAACCTCGGGCTAGTCTTCATCAAGACTCCCCGGGCTGCCTTCATATAGTCTAGGTAGACTCCACCATTTCCTTTGAGTGTGACCATAGTCCATCACTCATTCTAAGTTCATGCCTATCTAATTCAATACTATAGATAGCACATACAATTAATCACTACGGATTCATATCACTTTGATCATGTCAATAACTCAAGTATTCCTTACTTCACATTTAATCATTTTGCCTATCCACATAGGTATCCATATATCCCTTTTAAGATCTTATGGAATCACACATTTATCAACATTTGTCTATATCATGCTAATCCTCTATATCAATTCAATAATTAATATATTTCAAGGATTTCTCCCCTCATGCATAATGCCTTTGCTTATCCACCTTAGTAATATCATGTATCAATTTGTATCACCACATAGCAACACATTTATTCACATTGGAGTATATCATTTAATTCCATCAAAATCATAATTTGATTACTTAGGTAATCTCATGCTCAACTCACGAGTTATAGACAATATAGTCAGCCATCCTCACCTTAAATATGTCCAGGAAGGTTGCCTATTGAAGCCCCGTCGTTAAACCTTCGATCGGGAATGATTCGAAACAAGCTTGGCTGGCAGAGAGAAAAAGCCGCCCGGCTTTTGCAAAAGCTGCCCGGCTTTCGGGTTCTGCTGCACGAAAACAGCACCTAGAAGTGGCGGTTTCCGGCGATTTCGATTCCTATCGATTCAACAACTCTTCTAAGTTAATTACCAACACTTTATATCATATTTCTACACTTTTAAACGTGTAGAACATCCCCTATAATCCATCATATGATTTCTATAAAATCATATACGGAAAATAGATCAAATAACTAGTTTGGACGGGAAAAGCATTCGGTTACCTAGAAACGAGTTTTCTTCTTCCCGGAATCCCTCTCTTCCTTCTTCCTTGCTCAAGAAACGAGTGAAGCTCCCTGGTGAGCTCTCAGCCTTGCGTAAGTGGCTCTCAAAATGAGAGAAGGAGGTCATCCCTTATCCTTTCTATAATTAGAAGGTTGGGCCAATTTAGTTGGGTTGGGTTCACGGGCTGCCTCCTTTTAATTAATCCATCCTGAAGCTATTTATAACTTAATCCTCCCGTTTATTATGGGTTACATTTTATATGGGTTACCCCGAATTAAAGTGTAGGGAACCCTTCACCCTTATAATAGTTCGGCCCGAGTAATTGTATATTACTTACTCCTTATCCTTGGGCTTTTTATTTAATTTATCTTGGTCCAAGAATATATTTTAGTTAGTCCCTCCCCGTGTTTGGGGTCCAACCCACAATTTAATTAATCGGTATTAATTAAATTAATTAATCATTTCTAGTATGATTAATATACTTGTAACTAGTTTTCAAAGTGAATATACATTCATGACTTTAACTAATTATCCTCATCCAAATTAGTATTTTCACTTTCACTTAGATTTTAATGTTAATGGATTGATAAATCCAAGTTTAAATTGGGAGCGGTGTCACAAGTTCACCCCCCCTTAACAGGAATTTCGTCCCCGAAATTCACGTCGCTATTCATTTTAATCGGTGTCACACTTTTCCAAGTTTCTACGTTGACTTGATCTTTTATAAAATATCTTAACCTTTGTATCATTGTTGCCCTTAGGCATTTTCTTTCATATTCACATACTCTTTTGGTTTATCTCAATTAGATGTTACTCCATCTAACTACGGAATAACAAGTCCTTCCCCACTTGGGCGTCAATTCTTTCTAGAATTTACAAGCGGCCCTAACTAGTTTGGGTTTAGTTCCTTGGCATGTGAATCTGACAATTCACACCCAAGGCCCTTAATAACATTTTTCTCTAACCTTCGACTTGAAGGTTCCCCGATGTAAAACTTACTTACTCACATACCGTTATGTAGTTGGCCCGTGAGCCCGTGTTCATATTTCCTTTCATTCATCGTTAGCACGACACAACCCGTAGGTCTTATTATTCATACGAGACTTGTCACCGCCATCCGAGGCCTCATCAGGTCCTCGGGCCGGAGCCCAACATCCCGCCCCTGGACTCATCCCCATCATTGTATTAGAGAAGAGGATTAAGCACGGTGCCAACAAAGGTAACAACCCCGGAAACATCCTCCCGTATGAAGAAGGCAAAGGGGTGGTCTGCTCACTACAAAAAAACACGGAGTTAGTCACGGATTTAGTCACGGACCGCAGTATAAAAAATCCGTGACTAACTTTGCTAGTCACGGACTTTGTCCGTGACTAAATCCGTGACTGTTTGGGCGTGACTAATTCTAGTCACGGTCTTTTTATCCGTGATTTAGCGTAGTCACGGCTTAGTCACGGACCGTTTCCGTGACTAACTTGTCACCGGAATAACCACACCGGCGACTTAGTCACGGCCTTTTCCGTGACTAAATATAGTCACGGACTAATCCGTGACTAAATTTTCAAATTTTTAAAAATTAACCGCCAAATGTTACTGTTTAAATTTTCAAATTTCAAATTTTAGTCACGGACTTGATCCGTGACTACTTTTTTATTTAAAAAAAAAAATTAAATTTGCAAAATAAGTTTTTTAAAAATCGGTCTAGAATTTAGTCACGGCTTGGATCCGTGACTAAAGTTTTTTATTTTTAAAAAAAAAGTTTTTTTTTTTTTATAAAAAAATAAATTTTTTTTTAATTATTCTTTAGAAAAGTTTATTTTAAAAAATATTTGCAGAATAAAAGTAATAAACAGACTACTAGAACCCACTAGAACACACATTTCATAACCAAACAGACTGAAATAAAAGTAATAATAAGCACAATAGAAATATAGTAAATAAACAATGTTCAAATAAAAATGTATATCATTTACAAGCTCCTCCGGTTACCATTATGATAATATCTAGAATCATCATATAGATAATCTTCTTCGGTCTCATCTTCTCGGTTGTCTCCAGCTTGGCCTTCTCGATTGCCACCGCGACTGCCTCCTCCGCGACTGCCACCTCCGCGACTGCCACCTGCTTGGCTGCCTCCAGATGTTTGAAACAGGTTGTGAAAATTGATATCCTGAATAGATCCAAATGAAGGCAACCCGGTAGCAGAGTTGGTACGGAAATAACCGCCCATGTGCGGAACTTGAGGTGTCTGCTCAGGGTGCAGTACATACGGCTGAGGCTGATTCCGAATTCCGGCGCTGAGGATCCGTTCCATCTCTTCCAGCCGGGCCCTTGTTTCTTCATCTTTTTTGCGTTGCTCCTCCAAGGTGCGCTGCTGCTCAGCCAAGGCCCGCTGCTGCTCCTCCATCTCCCGCTGCATTTGAGCGATACGCGGATCCTCTCCGCGCCTTGAGCGGGAAGATGAAGCACCGCTGCGGTCGTACAAGATCCGTTGCCCCTCAGCCCCCATGCACGGGACCCGGCCCTTGTACACCCCAACTGCCTCAAAGATGGCATCATCCTCCACATCAGAATCAATCTCATCCTCCTGAGTCAAGCCTAATTCTGCCCGCCTCTTCTCAACATTTGTGTTATACTTTGACTACATGTACAAAAATTGTTAATTTAATGTTACTCAATTTGATTTTGAATGGAAATAAGTAACAAAATAGTGTTACTTACTTCGATTTCAGCGAGGCGGGGTGGCAGATCGGCATCGGACTCATCGCCGTGCTTTGTCCAGCAGTGCTTGATGACCTTGAGAATTGAGACCTTCTTCTTCTCAGGCCCCGACTACAGTTTGGAAAAAAGGCTTAAGATCCATAATTAATTGTTAAAATAAAGGGTTGTAATTGTGTAAGGTTTTTTGAAAAATACTTACAAGATCTTCTTTATGTCTACTCTGAGGTTTGCGGCCCCCATGCCATTGGGTTTCTAAAGCCTTCTCGGACATCCGGTTTTTCTTACCGGATTGACTTCTTGCCAAGAAGTTTGGATCAGAAGACCAGTGACGGACGAGGTTAGCCCACACCTCATCCGAACACCATCCAGGCTTTACCCCGCTCTTTCGGGCACGCTTAAAAGTAGGACGAAGCCAGTTTGAAATCCTAGTGTTATACGCTCTAAGAATAGCGGGACCTTGGGCTTCAGTCCATCGAAACCGACCCTTTATAAAAAACAAATAAATTAATTTATCTTTTATCAAATGTTACGTTAATACAATTACGCAGAGAAAATTCATTTTTTTTACCTTGAAAAGGTTCCACCAAAGTTCACGAACCTTGGGGTCAACTTCCGTGTATGCTGCCCAGTTCCCAAGAAAGTGTCCTCCGATTATTAGTTTGATTTGGTCCAACACTTCTTGATCGCTTCAGAAAATTAATATTATTTATTTATAAAAGTTTTGATAACATTATGATACATTGAAAAAATTATTTCACGTTAGATAAAATTCATAGTTAATTACTTACTTCGCAACCATGTGGGGCGTCACCCAAAGCGCATTTTCATTGTTGCGCTCAGCTTCGGTTAAGGGCACATAGTTTGGGCGGGGACGCGAGGTTGATTGTTCATTGCTCATCTAAAATATATTAATTTATATTTTTAAATGTTAGTGTAGTTATAATAGAAGATAAGATTTTTGTAGAAGTTTTATCAATTGAAAACGTGTATAACATATTAAACTGTGTATAAGTCTAATATGAGAAGTCGATATTTTTTCAATTAATTTTTTTATAACTTTGATACAATGCATTTTCAATTGATTGGTCTTTAAGGTAACATATTAAACTGTGTATAAGTCTAATATGAGGGGTCGATATATTTTCAATTAATTTTTTTATGACTTTGATACAATACATTTTTGTATTGATTAGCCTTTATGGTAAAATGTTAAACTTTTGCAAGTTTACATGAGGGGACATATATACTTTATATAAGGAAATTATAAAAATCATTTTAATACAGTAAAAAATAGTTCGACTTATCAAAAACAGTTTTATCTAAAAAAAAGTTATCTAAAAACAGTTTTTTTTTTGAGATCTAATAACAGTTTTATAAAAAAACAGTTTTGTAAAAACAGTTTTATAGAAACAGTTTTATATAGAAACAGTTTATAGAAACAGTTTTATATAAAAACAGTTTTATAAAAACAGTTTTATATAAAACTCAGTTTTGTTATTGTTTATATAAAAATCAGTTTTAAAAAGTTTAAATTCATTTTTACAAAGATCAGTTTTTAACTAATAAAAAACATTTTTTTACAAAAACCTGTTTTATACTTATTAAACTCTGTTTTTAGGAAAAATAGTGTATGAATTAATTAGTTTTATAGTTTTTTATAAATCAGTTTAATAGTCTACTTTTTTAAAAAAATCAGTTTTATAGATTTTGGTATAAAAACAGTTTTATAAAAAACAGTTTTTATACTTTTTAGTTTTGGTAATATAAGTTAAAAATCAGTCTAAATTTGTTGTTTTACTTAATTATTCAAAACAGTTTATAAATTAATTTCTCAAAACAGTCTAAATTAATTTTTTGTTCATTATTTCAAACATGTTAAACTTTTTGCAAGTTTAACATGAAGGGGGCAATTTTTTTTTTAAATAATTCGGGAATACCTAATAAATGTCCAAAAAATTGTATTGAGCATGCATGCTTCATCATAAGTCCAAAAATAATTCCAAAAATAGCATAAGAACATTCGAATATTCATGCATATGGTTTAAACAAAAAATAATTCATGTTTAAGCATGGATATTAGACATACAACCCAAAAAAAAGAGATGGTACCAAACTATAATATAAGTATGCATACTACACATCAAACTAAAAACAAAGCATAAATTTCATCAAAGTATGCATGCATTTTATTCGGATATATATTAAAATTAGCATAGATTTGGATTTTGGATATGCATTTCGGAAATTAAAGAATTTAAAATTAAAATAGCATGGAATTTTTATTCAACAAATAGAACATGAATGTTGAAAACTAAAGTACGCATTTAAGTATATACATGGGTATATTAATATAAACAGAGCATGCATATAAATTACAATAACAACAAAACATGCATTTGTTAAAATATTAAAAATAGAAGTTGAGATTTGAGAACATAACCTCGATGGCGGTGGAAGGCGGTGGAAGGCGGCGGACGGCTGATTGAGGAGGATGGCGGGTGACAGAGACCGGCGGTGGTGGCGGTGGCGACGTCAGCGGACTGCGGACGGCGGCAGACGACAGATAAGAGTGGTCGGTGGCGACGGACGGTGGAAGGCGGCGGTGGAGTTCGAAGGGAGTGAGAGACAGAGAGAAGATCGAGGTAGAGGGAGGAGAAGGCCGGGGAGTTTTAGGGTTAAGAAATAAGGTGGAATTGAAGCATCTCTTTTAGTGCAATTGGTAGAAGTCTTTGCATTATTACATGAGCATCGTGAGTTTTCATGCTCGTCGTCGTGGTAAGTTTGTTCATGTCTACGCATCTAGACAAGTTGGAGCAGTAGCCATCTGGAAACTTCTGAGACGCAAGCCATTGTAATATTGCTGCCTTTTGTGGTTCTGTGACCTGGTAGACTGCTTTTGGAACTTCCTTGCCCTGATATTCTAGATCAACAGAAAGTTCGGGTCTATCACACCAAATAGTCATATCTTTCCTAGCTGCAAGACCGTCTTTAGTTTTGCCTTTCAAATCCATCACTGTGTTAAATATATTGTCAAAGACGTTCTTCTCAGTGTGCATGACATCTAAATTGTGACGGATGAGAAGGTCTTTCCAATAAGGCAACTCCCAGAATATGCTCCTCTTTGTCCACTTATGGGTATCACAATACCCATATGGCTCTTGGTTTGGCTCTTCCATAGCCGTAGGAAAACGTCGAACCCTGACATTCGTGTAATTTCCATATTTAAATTTGTATTTTTAATTAGTTTCGAGTGATTGTTACTTTGGAAATTACACACTTCTGGTGTAAATAGTTTAGTTTGTAAAATAATTGTAATATGTTTAGATTAGGTTTATTCTGAGCTCAAACAGGTCCAAATACACTTTGGAGAACATCACCAGTGGAAGGAAGGTGCAAGAATGCAAGAAAAAGATTGAAGATCTCGTTTTTGGTCTGTACCCGATCGGGTATGACCTATACCCGGTCGGGTACCCTTCTGAAATTTCGAATCAAATCAAATCCGGGAACAAGGCATCATGCGGGAAGATTTTAACACGTTCGGGTGTCCATACCCGATCGGGTGACCGACAGACCCGATCGGGTATGACCCCATTTTTCAGCTTCGCCGAAGCCACATATGGTACCCGATCGAGTGGGCTGAAAACCCGATCGGGTACACGACCCTGCAAGCCTAAAAAGCCTATAAATACACCTCATTTCCTCCACAAGAAGATCACGAATTCACATATACTTCTAAGCTCAGTTTAGACAAGTTCTTTCTTTATATTTTTATCATGTTTAGTCTCCAAATGAGGAGCTAAACTCCTCCATCTTGGTTTTGCTACTTTGAAGCTTAATGAATTGTAAGTTGTGAGTTATTTTCTTTGATCTTCTTCCTTGAATATTAATTAATTCTTATTCCTATTACATATTAATATTTTGAGCAATACTTAAAGGATCAACTAGTTTTGTTTCATATATTAATTAATACTAGAATCGGTCGATTAATACGCTTGTTATTAACTCGGCTCTTTCACGGTAGTAAACTTGGGTTGCTAATGCATGCGTCTCATGGTTAGTAAGCCAAGGGGAATTAATTATATTGATTAAACCGATAAACCGCTTGTGTTGAGGTTATCAATCTCAATCGTTTTCATCTTGATTTTATTGCTACTATCAAGTACATATACGGCGCGTGTTCTATATTGACTCGATAGTAAGTTTTATTAATGAACGCGTCTCGTTATTAATAACTACCCTCGATGAATTGGATATACTCCTCGATTGAGTATTCGAGAGGAAGATAGTTAAAGATATAACCGGGATCAACGAACATTTCATTAAGTGGATAAAAGCAAAGCCAAGTCTTCTTCTCATTAATTAAACCACATAACTCGTTCATCTTCGTGCTTAAATATAAATTAAGTTCATCAACCAATCATAAAACCCCCCTTTGTTACGTATCTTTAATTCTATAAAAAGAGAAGTGTTCCTTTCCCTGTGGATACGAACCTTACTACACTATACTACGTATCAGTGTCGTATTGTATTTATTTTGAGTGCACCTCACGACAAGTGCACGTCAAATTTGGCGCCGTTGCCGGGGAGAGGCAATTATTTTTCTTTTTATTTCAAGAAAAATCAAAAAATGTTTTATAAAGAGTTCTTATTCTGAGCTTTGTGAAGTATATGGTCCGATATCGTTCTATAAACGAAATCACTTATCAAGCAAACCCCGAAATAGAACAAGCCTTCGAGAGGTTGAGAAATTTAATTCCGCACATACCCTCGGAGGAAACCTCAAACGCTAGCTACAGTTCTAGCGAATCAGAAGAGCCAATCACTATGGCTCAAGAAACAAGAACCTTGAGGGAGCTCACAGCTCCGAACTTGAATCAACAACCGTTATGTATTACCTTCCCTACACTCAACGAGGGTAATACATTTGAGCTAAAATCTGGGCTCATTCATCTTTTGCCATCTTTCCATGGCCTACGAGGAGAGGATCCGAATAAACACCTCTCGGAGTTCCATGTTGTATGCACGAGCATGTGCCCTAATGGAGTCACCGAGGAGCAAATCAAATTGCGGGCTTTCCCATTCTCACTCAAGGACACCGCAAAGGATTGGCT